GGCGCGTGAGAGTCACACGCGGCGACTCTTCTTCTCCAATCCTAGCCGCAAGCTTTCCTTCAGCGATCTTCTTTTCGCTTCTCCGGTGGCCGGTTTTAACCGGTGCCGTGAGAGAGCAATCCTCTTCCCCTTCTGTTACCTGCTTTATGGTGCTAGATTTCCCTCAAATCTACTAGTTTGTCTTCGTCTCTTGCGGTGAGTGGGTCGGAGACGCATCGTGGTGACGACTACGTCTGGGTGGTTGGGTCTTCTCCGTCATGGCTCTTTGCTTGTCGACGGCGAGGGTCACCGTCGAAGTACAGCTGATTCCCTTCACCTGCCTCTCATGGTCGACTTGCGTGGATCGTTTCTTCCCTCGCGACTCCGGTGATGGGCTTGCCTTGATCGGTAGAAGAGCGACTGCTGGTCGGATCTGGCTCCTCTGTCTTCAGTGGTTTTTGCAAACTTCCTAGATTTTTCTTGGAAGTCCATCACACCTCGTTTCTTCCGGTTGTTGAGGCTCTTTCTTCATCGGGTTCTTCCGTTCGAGGAAGGCTGAATCTGCGAAGGTGAGTCGTCTCTTGTCCGCACTTGGAAGTCCGTTGTAGTCTATTAGCTAGGGTGTGCGACTCTTTGGGATTTCTCGTGGTGGAGGATAGTTTGATTCAAACTTGGTTTTGGGTCCTATCTTATCCTGCTTCTACTTGAACCTCGATCCCTCTGTCCGTCCCTTCTAGATATGTTTCGGGACAAGGCTCTCGTTTGTGTTCTTTTGGGTTCTCTCTTTGTTGAGTAGGTTTGATGAAATAGAAACTTCATATTTGATTTTTTCTTTCGGACAACAGCATGGTCCTATGGTGTGTTGCTGCTGTGGCGTCTTAAGTGTGAGGACTTATCTAAGAGACCCATGAATTGCCTTCCATTCCTTGCTGCGATGTAGAGAAGGAATTGCTAATGCAGCCAGTGGTGGCTTTCTTTTTGGCTCTTTGGTCTTCATCGCGGTTTATCTAATTTTGAAAGTTCATGTCTAGCCATGTTGTTCCTAGTGTCCTGCCATTGATGTTGCGTGTAGATGTTGTCTGGTTTAGCTACATGAAGGTGACTCGTTGCTTGTGGTTTATGCAATTGAGAAGGTTTAAGACTGATGTGTTTGGCGTAGTTTATAAAGTTTCATTTGGCTCTGTACTAGCTAACCTCAAGAAGAGCTTAGTAGGGTGAGCTAGCGCTATTCGCTGTTATTGGTTGGTGAGGTTTCGTCCTTGTTTTAGCTCATGGTTTCGTTCCACGAGCATCTCTCACATGACGCGAGAGGAGTATGTGATCGAGGGTTGTGTGGTCTTCACTGTTGACGATTCTTTCACGGGCCTCCATTGAATGACTTCATTTGCCGGACCTTGGTAATTTCTGCTTATGTGTTTTGCTATGAAAGTTTCAATGCCAGCATGAGATATGTTGTGAACAATGATCATCATCATCAATTCGTTTAACTCCATTGACTTTGTATTTTTGTTGAGCCGACGGACTGAAAACCTTACATGATTATGCTTCCATGTTTTTACTTTTTTTTTGTGGAACCAGTATGTAGATTTATAATTACGATTGTAAAACTGAAACGATTCATTTTATATAAAATATTTACCTTTTAG